TTTAGTGGAAATTTTCTTGAAGTTGAGGATTTTATCGATTGGGTGTCAGAAGTCGAAAATTATTTTGAATTGATGGATATTTTGCCGAATAAGATGGTAAAATTGGTTAGGTCTGAGTTAAAGGGTTGTGCAGCCGCATGGTGGGATGAAATACAGAGGAAGAGAGCTAGACAAGAAAAATTTCCAATCCAATCATGGAGGAGGATGAGAAAAATGTTGATGGATCGTTTTTTACCCCTAGATTATGAGCAACGTCTATTTCAACTATATCGTAATTGTTCGCAAGGGAGTAGATCTGTTAACAAGTATACTGCTGAGTTTATGAGACTAGCAAACTTAAATAACCTGCAAGAATCCGAAAGTATGGAAATTTCAAGGTACTTGCAAGGATTGAATATTTCAATCCGTCTTAGGATAGGGTGGCGCGCAATCGACTCCCTTGAAGAGGCTGAAGAGTTAGCATGGAGCGAGGAATATTATCAGAAGCGAAATAGTTCTTCTAGAAAAATCAAATATGTTCTACCCGTTGCCAAAGTTAAGGAGGTACAAGATACTTCGTTCGTTATTCAAGCATCCAGTTTGGTGGAGGATCATGGCGTACGAGTTAACAAAGTTGAAGAAGAAATTGTTGATGCAAAAGTTAAAATTAGCGTATCTATGATTAACGATGACATTAACAAAATCAAGGTGAAAGTCAATGAAGTTGAAGGGGGAGTCAACGAGATTGAAGAGAGCATCAACAAAGTCGAAGATAGCGTCAACGGGGTAGAAGAGAACGTTAGCAAGGTTAAAGAAGGAGTCGATGAGTTTCGAGAGGGTGTTAAAAATAAATTTGAGGAAGAATTTGAAGTTGTAAAATTTGTTCAAGAAGAGGAAGGTGCACGTGAAGAGAAGGAACAAGTGGATTGCATTGAGGTATGTGATCTAATTGTAGATAATGTTTGCTGTGAAGTTCCTGCATCGGCGAAATTGGTGGAGCCACTGAGATTGTTGATTAAGAAGCCAATTTTTCCAATGCCTCGTTTGGATGAAGATTTTGAAAGCGAGATTTTTGTGCCGGGAATATTGGTGGAGCACTTGAAGTTGTTTCGAAAGAAATATGCATCGCTATATTTTGATCATAGCTCGAGGTCGAGCTCTTTTGAAGAAGAGGAGATTGATAAGGAACGTCAAATTGGAACCGTGTTGCAAACTAACTATTTAATTTGGAGAAGAGTTATTAATGGGCATTGGTGGAAATATCGAAAGAAATTATGGGAAAATAAGGGTTTTCGACGAACTTAAATCGTAGTTGAGTATGAAACGAACTCTATCTCAAGTAAAACGGCGTAAGGAACAAAACTCATGAGCAAAGCTCATGAATCACGTCAAATTTCAGCAATCCAAGGTCGTTTAGAATCCCAAAAGTTCGTGTTTGCTATTTTAGGTAAGTTTTAGAAAACTAATATCAAATCATAGAAAAATCGGATTAGGATTCCGTAAATTGGGTTGTTCCCAAAATTACGAGATCTACTAGAATCAGACTCTAACTCGTTTTTGCTGTTTTTGGTAATTTTTAGTATTTTCTTATTTTAATTAGGGTTTTCAGTTTTTTAGTATAAATAGCTGCCTTAGGACTTTATTTTAGAAGAATTTTGGAATTTTAATAAAATATTTAGAGTTTTCTCTATTTTTCTGGTGGATTCCAGAGTTTTCGGTGGATTCCGAATGTTATTTTGTTCTATAGGATTAATTCGTATAAATTAATTCTTTACCGTGCTTCCGTTCTGCGTCAGGAAGACTTATATTTGCTGCATTCTTGTGGTTCCTCCACGTTTTTATAGCTTGAGATGAGGTAGGGGCTGATGTTTACTCATTATAATCAAGTGTAAACAATTTGAGAATGGTCATGTGCAACCTAGCAACCAACCAATCAAATTGCACCATTTTGCATACTTTTGATTTTAGTCAACATCAAGTAATTATGTATGAAACTAATCATATTAAAATGTAATTCTATGTATTAATGCAATTAGGAAGAATATATGACCATTTAGCACATTTTAAAGAAAAATATTCAATCACGTATTAAAACACAATTAAGGCACATGCGTAGCAAGTACTTGTGATCATGCATCATGAATAATGAATCCTAACTATGTGCATTGATGCAGTATACTTATTATTGGCCATGTATGACATGATTGGGCATTACAGTATTATTTTTGCGATTATGATAGATTGGATAGTTAGCACTTTCCACCTTTAAATTAAATTTTATTGACACTTTTGTACCCTTAAATTGGAAGGATACTTTACAAATAAGCCCATTAATGAGTACTTATTCATAACGGGATCCACACAAAAAACTATTTTACAAAAAAATCCACACATTGTCCAGAGGTTTGTAAAATACTAAAATAGCCCCTCACATTTTAATATGCTCCAATTTCATCATTTAATTTAATCTAACCTCAATTTGACCCCAAATTTCACAAATTATTCAATTTTAACCAAAAACACAATTTTATGGACAATTTCGCCCGTCGCCGCCGTTGACCGCTGGTCTCCGACGTTGACTTTTTCGATTTTTTATTTTTTAATTGTTTTTTCTTCTTGATTTTTCCACGGCCGGTTTCTGACGTTGACTTATCGGTTTTATTTTTTTATTTTATTTTTTTATTTTTTTCTTTTACTTTTTTATTTTTTTTTTGAATTTTTTTTTTCATTAGCATTTTTTTTTCCCCGTTTAAACAATAATATTGTTGGGGTTGGCAGTAATATTAACTATATTACTGTTAAACACAATAATATTAACTATACTACAGTTTAACGGAGTAATATTGCTATATTAATCTCTAACACAATAATATTATCACAACAAAAGTCATTATTATTTTATAATAGAGTAATATTAATATTTTGGTCGTTCAACAAAGGTAAACATAATAAAAAGCATAAAATATTTAATATTGATATGGTTGACAGTAATATTGCCGTCAACCACAATAATATTATTGTGTTTACAGTAATACTACAATAGTAGACAATAATATTATTATGTTACTCCTTCAACAACTCAAACAAAACAAAAAAAAAAAGCGAAAAAAATAATAATATTGATGTGGTTGATAGTAATATTGTTGTGTTTATAGTTATGTTACTGTCAACGATAGTAATATAATTACCTTGACTTGTCAACAAATAAAACAAAATTAAAAAAAAAGACCCAAAAAATAATAATATTGTAGATAACTCTAATTGTATTGTCAACGATAGTACAATTACATAAAATGTACTGTCAACGACAACACAATTACGTTAATAAACTATTAACGACAGTATAATTACGTTAATGTACTGTTAGTGACAGTATAATTACTTTTAATGGTAGTACAATTACAGTCAACGTTTAGCGGAGGACGTAAAAAACGGATACAAAATTTAGGAGAAAAAACAAAAAAAAAATCACTAAGAAAAGTTCACGCCGGAGACCGGCGGTCAACGACGGAAGCCGGCGGCGGAAAAATCAGAAAAAAAAAAAAAAATCTCTAAAAAAAGTCAACGCCAAAAACTGGTGGCAAAAAAATAATTTTAGAAAAAAAAAAGTTAAAAAAAAAAATCAAAATTGGATTTTTGTGGTCAAAATTGATTAAATTGGGGTTACAATTAAGAATTGGGTGTAAATGGTTTGGGGTAATTTTATCATATATACATTAATTTTTCATTTATTCATAATACATATTAAAATGATGGGTCGCGAAAGAGATATAGCTCCTAAACCTAGAATAATAAAAATTGTTGGTCAGAGATTGATGCACAAAAACTCCAAATTGGAAAGCAAAATTTATCCTCCAATTACATTTTGCTTGGGACTTTGCACCCTAATTATTTTTTGGGTAAACAGCATTAAAACATTTCCCCCTTAGAAATTCAATAAAGGGATAATTCACTTGCAAATATTATTTTGGTTGCACTTTATTCCAGGAGCCAATTGTTTGAGGGCATTGTGCAATAAAAATAACATTTTACAAGGGGAACGTGCAAAAGAGTAAAGTTTTAAGGGGCAACGTGTAACAAAAATAACATTTAAAAGGGCAACGTGCAACAAAAATAACATTTAAAGGGACAACGTGCAACAAAAATACTCAATTCCGATGATTAATTCATCGGAATTTTGCTATTGGGGCAAAGTGCAACGAGAATAACATTTTGAAGGGGGGGGGGGGGGGGGGGGGGGGGATGATACGCACATGAGTAAAAGTTCAAAAGCATGCACAAAAGTACTCACGCAAAAGTGCATTCGCAAAAAGGATCATGAAAACACAAACTACAATCCTAGGACATTAATACAAATCAACAAACATGCACAAACACGCTCCCTCAAATGGACATGCACAAAAACGTACATGTAAAAAAACATGCGCAAAAGTGCATCCGCAACAACCTTCTTAAAACCACGAACTACCATACTATGACTTT